CTTCCCTCTCTCTCTACTAAAAAAAAGAAAAAAAAAAAAGAAGTAGAACTTCCCTCTCTCTCTCTAACTAAAAAATAAAAAGTTGAACTTCCCCCTCTCTCTCTAAAAAAAAGAAAAAAAAAAAAAAGAGTTAGTTAAGAGGAGTTTGCTTTCTTCTGTGGACACTCACGCCCATCAACTCTCATGAAAGCCGCCACCGATCTCTCTCTCACTCTCTCTCTAAAATTCTCTCTCTTAAATCTCTTTCTCTCTTTAAAATCTCTCTCTGGTGGGCCCACACGCTTTTGGCCCTTCCCCCCGGGCCTATATTTTTACAAGCCTTCCTCCTCTTCCTGCTCTTCTTCCCTTAAACGTCTCTCTCTCTCTCTCTCTCTCTCTAGCATCGTGTTCAGTCCTGTAAACCAAAAATCTCTTTCTCTCTCTCTAGAGCTCTTAAAAACCCTAACCCTCCGGCAACACCAACGAGTTACTGGTAAAAAAAAAAGGTGCATCTCCTTCTCTCTCTCTACATCTGTCTCTCTCTCTCTCTACATCTCTCTGGTTCTTTTGAATTATAAAACTCCTTTAGGAAGATCCATCCCTCTCCTATCAGATCACTTGAGCATTAAAAAACCTAATGAAAAGCTTCTCTTTCTCTCCTCTCCTTTCGTTTGAGCACTAAATCAATTGTTTAAGCTTGAATTTAGCAGTCAAGCTTATCATTTTCGGTCTTTAAGTTGGTATAATGCTATTACTACATCATTTTCGGTCTTTAAGTTGGTATAATAATATTACTCTATGATATGAGTCGTCATCATCATCCAAACTTTATTTTAATTATTTGAGGTTGGTTTTTAGATATAAATATATGATGATATATTGTGTGAGAAATGGAATAACATTACCTCATGTCAGTTATGGCAACATTTTTCTTTTGTATATTTGCATTTTATGGTGATTGGAGTCTAAATTAGGATTGATAAGACAATATAAAATTTGTGATATTTTACAAATGACCTATGCTTTTGATGGGACAATTAAATTCAAGGGATTGCATTCTATATGACCATTTGCCTTTCGTAGAAGCTGCTTAATCACCTCTGGCCCTTATACCTATTTGATGATATTTAACTTATCTGGAATAAACTATTTTATCTAAAATTGACATATTCTTGGTAACATAATTATGTTAGTTGTTTGGTATGTATCTTGTATTATGTATAATATTATTTATTTATTTTAATTTTTTTATATTTTTTAGTTATTTTTTAGTTATTTGGTATGTATTTTATATTATATATAATATTATTTATTTATTTAATTTTTCAACATTTAACAATATTTAGTTTTTTTTACTAAAAATATTCAATTTTAGCATATTACTTCAAAACGAAAACAACTTTTGAAAAGTATAAATTTGCATGAAATACTTCCCATGAGTCTATGTCACATAATTTTAAGTTGGACAATGTCAAAACAACAATGACCAAATATGGTAATTAATTTTATTAAAAATTTGAATTATCTAAAAAAAATCATTTATCTTTTGTATACGAAAGTCAGAATCATTTTCGTCCTTTAAATTTCAAAATAAATGATGGTAAAAGCACAAAATTTTTTTTTAAAAAAAAAGTCTCGGACTTTGTGACTCACTTCGAAAATAAATGATACCTTTGTAGACAATCCCTTTATTTAATTGTTCATAACCCCTTTCATCTTTATCAAGGCAGAGATTGGAGAGGCCTCAAATACAGTTGGCCTCTTGGTAATATTTGCTATAAAAAAGGGCAAGTGGATGGAATGGGTCCTTTTCTTATTGTTGTTTGTTGGTGTATATGAAACGGGTGACATTTTTGTAGCTTCTCCGTTCCGTTATAAGAAACTGTCGTTGCGGCGGCCCTTGACATTTTTCTTCCCTTTTTTTATTCCCTCCCTATTTTTTATTGAAAAACTTTATGTAAGTTGTCAATCCTATAATCCACTTGGAGAAGGTTTTTTTTATGCTGTAAAACCCTCAAGTCATTTATCTCGATGTCGAGATTCATAAGTACATAAAAAAAAAAAAAAAGTTTTTTAATTTTTTTTATTTTCAAGATTTTCAAATATTATTAAATTTACTTGATTGTCACCATTTTTTTAACTTTAAATATCATAAAGGCAGCAATAAATTTTTGTATCATGGCAGAAGTTTACAATGCCCAAGTTGAAGTTTTTTTGTAGTTTTGAGATGCACCTTACTTCAATAGTATAAAGTTGACACCTTATATAAACTTCACTTTTTTTTATTATATTTCTCTAAACATTTGAATACAGAGTCTAGGTTAGGGTAGGTTTAGGTGCTTAGAAAGATGCACAAACCAAGTTTTCAAATGGGTAGATAACAAACAAAGAAAATATTTCTTCTTTCTTTCTCTCTCTAAACCAAGAATATGAGAGAGAGAACATTAGGAAATAAAATAAGAAACAGCCAGGCTTTCTCAATAAGTTCCTTCCTAAGAAAGGTTCTTCGGCTCAAAAAAGAATGTATATAATTGGTTTTCTTGCAAATACAATTCTCTCTATTTGCCTGCATAGATACAGGAATTCCCACCCCCTAAGAGACTACTTTCTCTCTCGGCTCTATCCATTACTTAATTTCCAAGCTTTGACAATTCAATAGCAGTATTTGTTACAGGTAAAAACCTACCCCATTTGCAAAAAGGGGTTCTAAGGCCAAATCTTTCAGGCTTTAATTCAAAAGACTTTTTTTATTGTTTTTCCTTCCTTTTTGGTGATCAAGTTTTGTTGAACTAGGTTTTCTCTAACCAGTTCTATGTTTTTGCAGATTCGCACAAGGAAAAGATACATAGAGAGAAGGGATGGGTGCAATTATAGAACAGGTTTCAATGATAAGAAAAGGAGAAGAGTACATGGATTTGCCTCCTGGCTTCAGGTTTCACCCCACAGATGAAGAACTAATCACTTCTTATCTCATTGAGAAGGTCATGAATGGTAGCTTCACTGCTAGAGCCATTGGAGAGGCCGACTTGAACAAGTGTGAGCCATGGGATTTACCATGTAAGTATTTGCTCCATTTTCTCTTTTTTTTTCAAAATTTCCACCTCCTTTTCCTTTTTCTTATGATTTTGGGGTCTCTCTCTCATATTCTCTCTTGGATATGTGTACAGGGAAGGCCAAAATGGGGGAAAAGGAATGGTACGTTTTTTGTCTTAGAGATAGAAAGTACCCCACAGGTTTGAGGACAAATAGGGCCACAGAGGCTGGATATTGGAAAGCCACAGGCAAGGATAAGGAGATTTACAAAGGCAGGAAAACATTGGTTGGAATGAAAAAGACACTGGTTTTCTACAAGGGGAGAGCCCCAAAGGGAGAGAAGACAAACTGGGTCATGCATGAATACAGATTAGAAGGCAAATATTCCTACAACAATCTCTCTAGGACAACAACAAAGGTACAAACCTAAAAACACAAGCTTTATCACTTTTTAACATATCCACAAAGCTTTTAAACTCCTTTTCAAAAAGTTTTTAAACTTTCACCTTGCTTTTAGTTTGGGCCTACTTTAAGATGTCGATTCTGAGGACCAATTAAAGAATATGTTCTGTGTGCAGGATGAATGGGTGGTTTCTAGGATATTTCACAAGAGCTCAGCTGGGAAGAGAGCTCCTTTCTCAGGGTTGCTGAGAATAAATTCCTTTGGAGATGAACTTCGTTCTCCCTCTCTCCCTCCATTAATGGACTCTTCGGTGACTAATGCTTCTTCGAGCCTCATGGATGATGGTATTAGAGAGAGAGTGGATATGCCCAGCTTCTCCACTTCTCTGGAGGAACAGAATGATCAGCTAATGAGTTTTGGCCTGAATCGTTATGGTGGACTTGGACCAGGTGGTGTTAATCCTGGTGCAACATCTCACAACCCCGCGTATCATCCCCATTTCTCTCGCTTCAATTCTCTCTATCCTTATCAAACACCTTCAGGTTTCAACACAATGAACCACCCCAGAAACAATCAAGCTCCTCTCTATCTACATTCGAGTCTGGACACTTCTGATCGGGCCATGTTGAGGACGGTGGCCGATGGCCATGGAGCAAAGCGGTTCAAAGTGGAGCAAGAGAGAGGCTCGTCTCTCTTACAAGAACCACCGAGATGTGTGGTTTCAAACCAGTCCATGGTCAGCATTTCTCAAGACACAGGCATGAGCACAGATGTTAACACCGAGATCTCTTCTGTGGTTTCAAAGCATGAGTTTTGCAGCAGGCCTTTTGAAGATCTTGAGGCACTTTCCTCTTCTGCTGGACCTGTAGACCTCGATTGCTTATGGAATTATTAAAAAAAGAGTTTTACTTAGAGAGAGAGAGAGAGGCCTTTTTTATTTGTAAATGTTTAGAGGAAGATCAAATAGCAGAGATATAGAAGAAGAAGAACCGCACATCTTTTCATCATGTGTTTCACAATGTACATTCACCCCATAACCCTTTTACATGTACCATTTGTGGATTCATTAATTGTTTCAATAAGCAGTGTGACAAAAGAATCTATTTTCTCTTTTCTTGTTGAGATTATGGCCCCTCTCATCTCTATGTAAACTTCATCCATGAATTTAGTTATGAAGTTCTCTAAAATCAAAAGGCGCAACCCAAAAAGAATCCCTCTTGGGGGTCTCTTTTTCTTTTCTGTCTTTCTAGAACCAAGTAGCCATGAATGAGAGAGAGAGAGAGAGAGAGAGAGAGAGAGAGAGAGAGTAG